CGGGAGGGTCCATCCGTACAGAGCTGGGGGGGGAATGAGCGAGTGCTCAGTCTGGAGACGTGAGTCACTGGTGTTTAGACTTTGCTGTAGAGTACGTGGAATGTAAATGTCATTCCGGGTAATATTTTGGGGTTTGCAGATGAACTTTATCTCCGTCAGTAAAAGCATGCTTAAGGCTGTGGGCCATTATATAACTAGCCCTCTGCAGTTACTTAATGTTATTTTTACATTTCTGCAGATGGTATTTTACCTGTAGATAATATGGGTAAGGTTTCAAAGTGTATTTTGGTTGGCAGAAGAAAAAGCAGTAGAAATATTTGAAACGTATTTAATATACCTCAGTATCTCATTGTAATGCTGTGCTTAGTGTAATTCACTCAGCGATCTCGGGCAGGCTGCGTGTAAATCTTTTTTTCTAACTCTTGTTTTGAAGTGTGTTTAAACAAAGATAAGTTATCTCCTGTTGAAGGTGGTATGTCCCAAGTGTTGTGTTGGGAGAATCACTAAAGCAAATCACTTAGAAAAAATGCACTTTTTTTAAAAATCTATTTTCCCCCTTCAGGTCCTGGGACCTTGACCCGAACTCTCCTCAATGCAGGTGTTAAAGTGGTAGCTCTAGAAAGTAACTCAGCTTTTCTTCCAAATTTACAGGTACACTTTTGATTTGGTAGCACATTTCTAAAACTTAATTAAAGGGGAAATAAGAAATTTAACTTGTAATTGTGTAATAACTGTTGGATCAAAAAGGAATTAGCCAGTGATCGTTACTTGTAACACCTGAAATAATGCCTAATAATAGTAAGTATTGTTTGGTTTTACATTGCATGTTCAGCAACAGACTATTTTATAATCAATTGATTTGACATTTTGTGTATGAAGGAATTGAAGTTCATAGTCTTCCTATGAATAGATTCATGCATAAATTTGAGGCTAATATTAATCAGTGTCATTGTAGTTGTTTATGTTTAAGTAAGACGTCTGTATGTAGCTTTCAGAAGTCTGTAAATATAGTCTTGGTTATTCCGATTATCTCATGGAATTATTTAACCTCTTGTTCTGCAATTGAGTGGTAATATTAAGACACGTGTTGTCCTCTCCTGTTCACCTTGGCTTTGCATGGATTCAAAGGTGGGCTAGAAGGATTGTGTGGCAAAACTGTAAAGTAGAGGTTTGGAACCAAAGACTCTCACCTGACTTAAAATGTGTATAAAAGGCATTCTCTCTGTGTATATGAAGAATTCCAGTTGTAAATCATTAAATGCGGTGGTTTGCTTAGCTGAGTATAGCTTTTTTTGCAAAACATTGCAGAACATCTTACTGATTTAAAAATGTGTTTTAAAGTTCCAGTTGAGCAGCATAAAAATGCCAAAATGCCCTGCACAGTGAGGGAAGCTATTCTTTCTATCAGCTGTAAGAAGCAGCTCTGAGATTTGATTTGTTGACTGGGTAACAATTTTAGGTAGTGCTTGAACATTTTTTTTTTGTTTGGGTTGGGTGTTTTGCCAGACAGGTTACTGAATCCAGATTTCTTCAACTGAAACTGATTTTATTCAGTCCCTAGAGAATAGCCTGGATGGACAATTAAAGGTAATTTATGGTGACTTCTTCAGACTGGATCCTTTGGTGACTGGAACTCTGAAACCACCTGCTATGTGTTCTGACAAACTTTTTGAAACCATGGGTGTAGCAGCAGTTCCTTGGAGGGCAGGTATATGTATATGATTGCACGTGATACAAATCCATTTGAAGGGTGCATAGGCAATTTGGCAAAATCTGTGGGATTTGCTTGAGGTATATGTTCTATTTAATATGTATGCTGGATTAATAGATATTATTTCTTACATTTCAGCTTTATTGAGGTTCTCAGTAGCCTCAGAAAACCCTTGTGACAATATGAAATCTCAGCTATTTGCTTGTCTTTATTAAAGGTTTAGTCTAATGCAAACTGGGCTTAGATTTGACTAAAGCTTGAATGGTATTTGTTCTTGAACAACATGAGCTGACAGACTTTCTTTTCTTAATTGTTTGTAGTTTAGACATTAGCATTAATGAGGCTGTCTAGTACATATTGCAAAATATTAAAGCTACTTTTACACATTGTTGAAACAGACGTACCTGTGAAAATTTTTGGAATCTTACCACAAAAAAAGGAAAGGAACACACTTTGGAGGCTTCTTTTTGCCCTGTATGAATGCAGTTCCATATACAGATACGGAAGAGTAGAACTCAACATCTTTATAAGTGAAAAGGAGTACAAGGTATGCCTAAGAGATTTTACAGGTAGTAAAGAGTAAGTAGTGCTTCACAGAACACACAAACATTTATATTGTATAGTTAATGCTAGTAAATTTCTTTTTCTGCCAGAATTTTTAGGTCTTGTCTGTTTCCTACTTTATGTAGTGACAGCACTGTCAAGAAACATTCTGTTGTCACATAACCACAAATCTTACAAATGTGAAGGCTGGCACTTGAGAAGTATATGCAGCAGCAGACTAGCTGCTTTCCATTTTAACTTGTGAGGTGCTTAAACTTTATAACATGCTTTTGCAACAAAATTATTTTCTAGTTGCAGGTAATAGTCAATGAACACTGAATTCAAAATGCTTTGTGAAGAGGGTTCAGAGTTACTAAATACCATACTCCATGAGATGCCCTCTTGAGCTACTTTTGTATACTGTGCTGAAAAAAAAATGAGGCAAAATATGAATGATTTACACACTTTTTTTATTGAGGTTCTGTACACTAAAGTGCAGAGCAGCTTTCTGGGTTATGTGTTCCTAATTTACGCTGTCCCAAACTCTAGAGCTGTACTTATAGTTCAAGGGTACCTTTTCTTTCTGTGAAACTGTGAGGTTTATACAGAGCCGCAAACCTTTAGTTACTTGAAGTAAGCAAAGACTTCCAGGTGTGCTTACACAACCTGTATTGTGTCTAACACCCTACTGAAAAAATTAAAAGTCTTAAGTATATTCTTCTGTGACAGGTTGGACACCACCGAAATACTGGTGGCCAGATTTTTGAGCAAATAGGGGGCAGCCTATTCATTTAATTCAGTCACCGTGTTTTATGGTTTTATTATGAATCCTGTTAAATGAGAGTTGCGTACATAAATAAAAGCTATTGGAACCTTCTTTTTGGTTTTTCATTTGTCATGAGGCTCTCTAAAATCTATTATGAGGAGTTAAATCTCCCTGCTACAATGTACTTCTTTCTTTGCCCTGTTTGAGAATAACCACAATTTTTTCTTTTTTTCTTGCCCTAAGAGTTGTCTGATCTGTAAGATTGATCAGCACGATGACCGCGCAAGCTGCTTAATGTTCAGTGAGGTCACCTGATGTCTGGCTTACTCTGCTTGTGTGTCTTATTGGGAATATTATCTTGTCAGCATGAGCTGATAAGTCTGCCCGTGTTATGGTTTTTATAGAAAATATGATCCCTGTTTTGCTTCTGCGTGAAACTTATCTGCCTTAAAAGGGACCAGAGGGTATAAGCTGGAAGTTCCTACACAGTTCAGTTACCCAAATAACTTCTGTGAAGAAATACTTAGACTGCCATAATGTCTTCTAAATGTGTTCTGACAAGATGTACTAAAAAGCACAAAGTATGTATTTGAGGCTTAATGTAACTTTACCTTGGAATTTTAGACTTAACTATGAATTTCTTACCAGTTGTTATATATATAAGGATCTTGCTTAGATAAAGAGCAGTCTTAGTTTTTACAACAAAAATGCTTTTTCTTTGCCATTTTGCTAGGTATTAACAGCAAAGCCTGGGGATGTGAGGGCTTACCAGGCACTTACTGTACTTTGGCAAGTAGGATGTGAAATTCAGCTACTGCACATGGTAAGTTTTTTGTACCAGCTGACAGTCTAATGCTATGGGCGTGTTTTTAGAAAAGAGTTTATAGCATTTTACTATTGTAAACTAATTGGAAGCTAATGTGATGTTTAAATTAGTGTGAGAGCTATGGAAACTTCTGGATGTAAAAACCTGAGAGAGTCATGTTTTGTGTCAAACTCTTTCACTTAAGTGGCATCATTATTAACTGTGATGTTAGTATTTTCATTACAAGCCACTGTATTTAAAAAATATTTATTCTCAGAAGCTGGTAGATAAGAAAGAGATGTCTGTGCAACAGATCCGTCTTTTCCATCTTGCTAGGGGTTGTGTGGGACTAGAAGACTGCTCTTCCAATCTGTCATAGTCTGCTCTTTGTTATGGCCTCTGCATTTTGCCATCATTTATGCTTTCAACTTCCTGAGCTGTGTTTGGTGGAAACGTGTTTTTCAGTCTTGGTGCCTTTATGTCCCAAGCAGGCCTGCTCCTCCTGCTAGTCAATAACTATCTTACCTTCTCAAACATGCTATGGTTTAGTTTTAAAAAAGTTTTTTATGTTGTCCCTCCACCTTGACATGAGCACTTGGCCATCAACTTTCACTTGCTTTATGCTTTTTAGATTTATCTTTGTGCTCTGCTACGTTCATAGTTTAAATGTTTTGCTAATCTAAAATTAAAAGTTTTTACTATCTATTCCAAATACCTTATATCATGAGGTATAAATTGACAGTAAATATTAAGGAATTGAATTGATATTTAAGGAACCTATTACATATGCTTGCTGTGGTCATACTGTGTTTGCTATACATCTTCTTGTAGCTACTGTAGGAGACAAGTTGAGCTGGTGGGACTTTTATTTGGACTCAGCACAGCAGCTCTTACGGTCAGCAGTCAGTTTTTAGCTTTGGTTCAAATTTTGAACTTGAAACCAGTAGGTAGCCCCACTAATGTGTGGTAATACATACAAGTTATTTGATTATAAGTAATATACCAGTGCTACTCAGATACTGTGTCAGGAATGTGATTAAATAACATTTTCAGTTTGGCCTTTTTATGGTTATTACTTGACTTTCTTTTTTTTTTCCTAGTTCTAATACATTTACATGATTTTAAAGTAAATTTTAGAATGGGGGTAAACTTCTAATTAGACAGGATTGATGGGAAATGTTTTTCCAAGTTCTTCCAGAGCACTTTAATTCTCTAATGTATTTGCTCCTACCCACAGGAACCTTGGTCTTCATTTGTAACTAATTTGAAAAATGGGGGACTGGCGGTACCAAAAAGCATGGTAAGATTGTTGTGTGCACTTTTCTCCTTTTGGAGATGCAGCTAAACCACTTTTAATTAAAGGTTAAAATAACTTTATAACGGCATTTACACATACATTTTTTGGCTGCGCATAGTACTTTTTAAGAAGTGTATTTCTAATTAAAACTTAGGGGCAGCATGTAGATGCATCAGAAGTGGGGTGAAGAATTGCTATTAGCTTAGAAACTGAAATAAACTAGTATCTTTATTGTCTGTGATGGAAAAAATATAGCGAATAAACACTATAAAGGGTTGTGAACAGGTAAGTCTTTTTCAAAAGAAGTTACTGACAGGGTCACATCTACCTGCTTGAGCAAAACAAGTGTTACCATGATTAACAGCACAATCAGCATGCTGTTGGTTTTGATTAAAATGGCTATTCACATGTCCAGTGCAGATTCCATGTGCTAGTTAATTGCTGGAAAGCGTGAGTCTCAAAGCTTAAGTTTGAGAAGTGGAAAAATGCCCCATGTAAGTTCTTTACTTTTCTCTTTTAGAGAAGTAATGCTGTTCCTTCGTATAATATAAGACTGTTTACTTAAATATTTGGTTTTTACCCTCCCCAAAAAACTGCTACGGCAGTATACTGAGTGTTGTTTGAAATGTTACTGTACAATGTAGGTGACTATAAGTGAATATAAGTGACTGAGTGTGCCTTACACACTTACGTGTGTTACTGTGAAGCTATGTAGAGAGGCGTATCAGGTGCATTATGTAAGATGTATTGTGACAGCCTTAGGAGAAGTACAAATATGAGGTCTACTGGATGATATATCCATTGCTGCCAATACAGAAGTACATTTATTTCAGTTAAAGACTCCACCTCTCCCAATTTCATAAGATCCTCAAGTTGCAATATTGTCTTAGTGTTATTATTATATTAATGTTATTATTGTCTTAGTGTCTAAAAAAATAAAAATGAAACTGAAGTGATAGCATGTCTGTTTTGTTTCATATTTCCTTTCCTGTTTGGCAGGTGGGGGGAGGTAAAGCATCTTTGGTCTAGAACTAAATTTTAGAGCCTCAGCTTCCAATGAAATAGTCTTGTTAAGACTGCTAAAACTCTTCAAGAAATGTTACTGGTGGCACAGATGAAATGCTTACTCTTAAAGACACAGACTGTCGTGTAAGTGACTTGTTTTGTTTCTATTGCAGTGGCTGCAAAATGACCATTTATGTTTGGTACGACTGACTCCTCAGCAAAATCTATTTACAGGAGGCTTGAATCCCACAAATTCAGCTACCTTTATTTTCATGGTGAAACAGTGTCTTGCTAAACCCAAGTCTAGACTTACTGATAGATTAAAGTAAGTAAGAATGAATTAACAGGTTTTATACTTTTTCTTCAGTGAAATGTAGGAAAACAATAAAATAATTTTCTCAAAGTGGTATTTATTTGCAGCTGAAATACAGCTTTTTTTTTTTTTTTTCCAATTAATTATCTACATGTAGAATAGAAGATTTAATTTTTGCAACCCACAATACAGTATTTTGGGGACTGTTCCTGGCTTGTATTCACAGATGATAAAGACTTGAGGTTTGACAGGAAGGTTGACAAGTATTTAGAATGTAGATGTTCATTAATTGTACCTCCAATGGAGGCGAGGTCGTGTATCTGCAAGAAGTTTTCACTTGCATTACAGACGTAATAATAAAGTTACCATGAGTTTTGCAGGTATAGAAATTAAAACTGAAAAAGTGTTTCAGTTTATAACAGGCATCAAAGTAAAGCTAATGAAAACAGCTGAAGGGTATTGAAGGTGGAGTGGACATGCCTCAAATGGCTTTCTGTTATCTAATTAAAAAAATAGGATTTAGACTTATTTACCAATTATGCAACTCTTTAATTATTCTTTTTGGTATTACATTGGAGCTATTCACTTTGCTTTATGATCAGTAGATTTCTGTTTCCCGCAACGGGGAAGTGTTTGCAGTCTAGAAAGCATTGACTTCAACTTGTTAATGAAAATAATTAATATATTTCTCATTTGCTGGTAGTGGTTTATGGAAGTTAATTTCCAGAAAGCAAAAAGAAGAACCCAAACCCTAATAAATTCCAGTAACTCATTCAGCAAAGACAAGGGCAAAGAGCCTTAATGGATTTCTTTCTTAAAGCTCAGTGGTGTACCTAATCTCCATTCGACCCTTTGCCAGGAAGTGGAGCTAACCTTCAAGGCTTCTAATGTGCATCTTCTGTGTATTTATGCACCCTTCTCTTGTCTGGGAAATAATGTATATACACATTTATAAAAGGTGTAGTTTTCATAGCAGGGATGTAGATGGGGAGACAGTGGATACATCTGTTTATATAGAGAGAAAAATACCTGGGAGGTATAAGTCACACTAATTTATACTATACTGAATCATCATCTTGAAGATGACCTTGGCTTTCATTTCCCAGGCATTGAAGAATAACCCCTTTTTATGCTGTAAAGCTGGTTACTGACTTACACAGTTGGGGCAGAAGAGGGAGGGCACCCACCCTCTGATGAGGAGGCTTATGTGGTTTGGTACTGTCTATGTCTGCTGGGGGCTTTATTTGGTATTTATATGTCTTATTAGCAGAGATTTCTTCCTGTTTGCAGTATGGATTGAAAATAACTTGTGTTGTAGGAAGATGTTAACTTCTAGAAGCTGAGAAAGGGTGAAAGGGACCTTCAGATACTGTTTCTTGCTCTTTAAGTTTTCACAGAAAGAAATGCTCCATTATGATTATTTGTTTGTTTGTTTGTTTCAGTTCATGGAGCTTGGACAATGGTGGCAAATTACTGAGAGAGCTAGAAATTCCAAAAAATGCTGAAACGCGTAACTTATACCCAGAAGACTATAGGCGTCTTTTTGAGGCTTTGCAAAACTCTAATATGTTCACTGAAACCTGGTTCCATGATGAAGTCTTGGAAAGTATAAGGAACATAAACTTATAAATCTAAAGCTGCTGTCTTTTGGAAGATCACCTTTGCTTCTGGAAGATTACTCTGATGAGAAATGATTTAAATAAAATCGGAGATACTGTTAGCTAGATGATTTCCTGTCCAAACAGGAAAATAAATTTAGCAAGTAGTAAGAGGCCTTCTGCACTGGATGAAAGTAACGGATTTACAGTTATTTGATCACAATCCTATCTAGAATGGACAAACTTTGCATCTTTTCCAGGAGCATATTAGTGACCTGCTGCTTTTGGATGTACCACTTAAACAGAACTTTTTGTTACACTGCTGTATATTTACAACATTTGAAAAAATAACAGACCAAATACCATTATTTCTGTGGTTTGCATTTAGTGCTCAGTGATTTGAATGCCTTTTCACAAATTCCCAAAATACACAGGTCTTTACAACCACTGAATCTGTTATATTGTCTCTTGATCTAAAAACCTTGCAGTCAAAAGTCAATAAATCGGTAGGGGTGGGTTAATAGAAGACAAGGTAATGACAGCACGATAAAACATCACCTGAGAGTTGGTTGGTTGGTTTTTTTTTTTAACCTAAAGATTGTTATGTCTCTGGGGGAAAAGGTTGTAACAATTGTTTCTTTTGAAAATTTGAAAAGAACTCTGGACAGCCTGTTCTAGTTTACAATATGCAAACACTTACATGTGTATAGGCTTTATCTTATTTTAAGTCTAAAACAAAGTCATCAGAACATTCAGTGCTTTATAAACAGTTTTGGGGAAAAAAAAACCATCTTACCTGCAACCTTCACGAGTATGTATTTGTTTAATGCATATTATAGGTACAAAATAACTTACGTCAAAACCATATGCTGTTAAAATTATCTTTTTAGCCATAATACTCCATAATGCAACCTGTTCCCAGTTTCTCTTCCTGTTTTACCATGTAACTGTTCTGTTGTTGCCTGATAATGCTGGCAGGCTGTACTGGTTCTCTGTTCTGCGCTGGCTCCTCTGGGAAGAGCTGTGGCCAAAAATATGCTTTTTTAGCAGAGCACGAGTTAATAAAATGTCTTTTTGGTAAAGGCCAAGCTATTTTCAGGCTTTGGAGAACAACAGTGACCAAACCAATGCAAACAGAATTGTATTTCTTAAGCATGGTGTGAGGTATGGATGTGACAATCGTTGATCTCTGCCTTCCTCCTGCAGTTCCTGCTGCAGAAGAAAAATTTCAAGCACTTTTCAAGCAAAAACTTCAAGCAGCCTCAGTTCACTCTGCTAGCTAGGCTGCAGCTATCTATTTATGCTGCTGGTAAGCCTTTGTAATGCTGTTATGATGAAACTACTGGAAAGGCTGAGGTTTAATTTGCAGTCTGGCTGGGAGCATTCCTGGTGTTCTGGTGTAGGTCGTGAAGATTTGAGGCTTTCTTCTGGTTTACATCGCTTACTGTCTCAGATAACTGGCGTTATAGATTGACCATGAATGGCCAACTTGTATTAACAGAAGCAATTCCACCTTTTTTCAATCTCAGTAGATGGTAACTGTCTTATCTACTGGTCTGCAAGAATGCAGCATCTCCTGGGCTGATCCACCCCACCACCACCTTGAATCAAGTACCTTGCTCTTGCTGCAGCAAGATGTCTTTTATCAACATGCCAGGAGAACTATTCAATGCGTAAAATGTAAGACCACCACCACTGTCTACATAAACTTCTTCAACTGTTGCTGGTAACATTTCAAACACAAACTGCAAAAAAGAAAATTACTTGCTGTGATTTTTTTTGATGCTGTTGGAAAACCATTTACTGAGCCAATGCAGAGACTCCCAAGGTAACAGCAGGAGTCTGTAAGTGGAAGGAATACTGTGTAACTGGGGACTTGAAATGAGGAGAGTTAATGCTAATCAAAACTCTGCCATTAAGTCTAAGTGTAAGCAACATGTTTAGCGCTGATCACAAATTTGAAATGAACAATGGCTGTCATTATAAAAATGGTTTTGGTATTGATGGAAGAGGTGGAAAAAAAAGTGGAAATTACTCATGTAGGTGAATAACCACGGGGAAGTGAAGTAGGTCTATGGATTTGACTAACTGATGCTATCCACTCAGTGCTTCCTACTGTTGCAGGTTTACAGCTTCGGTAGGATAATGTTGAATGCAAACTTTCACTGAAACTTTAAATTGTATATAAAGGCTTCTCATACATTTTTGTTATGATTTTTAACTAACCCTGTACTACTTGTGTTCCTTTCCTTTGCATATCTGCCGTTGCCATATTCCTTGATCTGTTGATGGAAAATCAAGCCAACATCTCTTCAGTTATTATTGATCCATGTAAATGCAAAGACAGAACTTGCAACTGGGAAAACAGTATATAAATTCAGGTTAATAGTTTGATAACCCTCAAAAATGCTATTAAAAGAGAAAACAAAACTGCAAAATCATTCAAAATTTAAAATGCTAGACCTCATAAGAGAAAATCTTCATGCTAACTTTGAGACTTTGAGGTTTGCAGGAACTACTTCTCAATCATGGCAGAATAGCAAAGTTTCCCATTTCTGAAAGTGCATTAATTTACAAATGAGTTACTGTGCCAGATACAGTAAGTAATAAAAAGTATTTTGAAATTAGCACCAACATTTGACAATGTTATGCAATTCAGTTGTTTTTTACATAGTTTTGTGTTATGGCACTATTTATACCTAAGATATAAAGGTTTTTAAAATTACATTAATTAGCTGCAAGCTTTGGGGTAGATTTATTTCTTCTATGTTTTCCTATCTTTGACTCTGTGATCTTGGATGAGATGAAGATTACAACATACTAAATAGAAGGTCCACAGTATAGCATATTCCTTTCAATTATTTCCAGGCTGTGGGGCTGTGGTTTCTTTTTTTTTTTTCTTTTTTCCTTTTTTTTCCCCTCCCAAGACTGATCTAATTCATGAATCTCTAAAACATGAACCATGCATGATACATCTGTTAAGTAGAACTCAAGTATTGCTCCCACACTTCCCCTCCCAAGACTGATCTAATTCATGAATCTCTAAAACATGAACCATGCATGATACATCTGTTAAGTAGAACTCAAGTATTGCTCCCACACTTCAAATACTGTTTCTTGGAGAAGTTGCCAAGAAAATGGCTTTTGTCACGCCATATTAAAGCATGACATAGGTCGTATGACGATTGCAACTTCAGGGGTGCCAAGTCTTTCCTACTGGCCCTTATCACTTGTGCCGTCCATCTGCCTGTAAAAGAAAATTACATGACTGTGATGGCAATTGCCTTAAGTTTAACTATATTAAAATCGTAGCAAACAAACACAAACAGAAAGAAACTTGGTCCTTATGATGCCCAGTTAATGAGAAATTTTGCCACTTGGAAGTAAGAGATCAGTCAGGTTGGATTCTATAGTTAGTAGTTTGCTTTGGATCCAGAAGAAGTGTTTGTGACCTTGTACTAATTAACACAGATGATGTGCTAAGGGGTTGTTAAGGTGGAATGTGTATATACTGGCTACTCGGCTTGTTCAGCATTGGATATTTTAATAATTACAGCTTAGCCTTGCAGGTAGTAATGATAATGTTGATTGATAGAACTATCAACATAGAACTCAAGAAACAGATCATGCAATGTAGTTTAAGATGTGTGTCGTAGGAAGAACCTGAAGCTTCCCGAGAAACATGTTGAGTTCACTGTTCTAGCAGGCTATATGCAATTAGAAGAGGTAGATTGAAAACTCCAGTCTAAGCTTTGCAAGCCTTTAATTAGCAAAGCTGTACCTTTCTTCTGTAAACACTGAGAAAATGGAAATAACAAGTAACTTCTCCAGAAAGGAGTAGAAGTCAGTGGGACATGTTTGTGCACTCACATTGTATCCTTGCTCAATAGCTATTGCGTCTTCCCCTGTGTATGCTGTTTAACGTCACTGCTAAAAACAGACATGCTGGCTGTCCCCAGCTGACAGAATGCAACACGCAGCAAACATATGAAGCCCAAGGGAAATTAGGGGTAGTTTGGATACACCAAATGGAACAGTCCATTATTCATAATGTAAGCAAGACTTTTAATACTTGATGTAGTTGATCCTATTGATAAGACACCAAATAGACAAACAGCTAAGAAATTATGCTGACAAACTTCTGAAGCTTGTTTCTGCCATCTGAAGGAAATTAATGTGTTTGAGGCAGGGAAGACTCAAATACAAATAGAAAGTTTTTGTAAAGTTCATAGTAAAAAATCAAGAACTAAAATCGATGTAACTGTGAGTGAATTTTATTATGAATTTGTGTTTAAAATGCTTCTGCAGTGGGTTTTTTTGAATTTTACATTCTAGAATCAATTTTTAACTAGCACACTAACATCAAAAGTAAGAGGCCTCGACAAGAGATTCTTATGTGTTCATAAAAGATCTCTGTGCTTACAAGTTTTCAACTATTCTATGCTGTTAATGACACAGATTTTGTACTAATCCAAAATTTAACATTTTGTGTTTTATGCCATATTTTGCTCCCATAAAAATTCAGTTCTGTGCGGTGTTGTTCGGAATGGGTATTGCGCATTTATGACTGAAGAGCAGAATTTGGATTATTTCATTACTGCAAATCTTTCTGTAAATTCATGTTATAAAACATGCTGCCTTGAGACAGAAGAGCTCAACTTCCACTACGGTGTCTCATCTACCGGCAGTAAGGAAGTATGACTAATTCAGCAACATCAGCCAGAATTAAATGATATTTCCTACAAAAGTGTCTCCATTACATGCCTTGACAGCTGCTTCTGTCCAGAATGTGTCATGCATTTCAAATAGCTGTTGGGAAGTCTCACCCATCTAGGTCAGTGGATGACTTGGTCATATAAAAATCCCATACTAATAGCAGGGATTAATTCAACTAAATATAGTCAAGGGCTAAATGACCACTTATTGGAATACATAGCCATAATATCATTATGCATTTCAGAAAATTCAGACCGATGTTTCCAAAAACATCCGAGTTGGGCGTTCAGTTGATTGCCATTGCCCAAAGGCTGTGTTGAATGGCCCTCCAAGGCAGACCAGTCTATAAACTGTAGAGGTAGGTAACCAGAATCAGTTTTCCAGTTTCTTGTCTTACAGATGTCGAAATATCCAACGTCGCATCAATGAAAAAGTTTATGCTGTGTTTAAAAGCTTATCTGTATTAGAAAAGCCCCTATTACTACAATTATGTTGTCGTATCAACTGAAATGCAATGTCAGCCAAAAGTTCTTCTTGGGCTTCTGTAGTTTATTTCACTGTACAACTTATGGCAAGCTGATGAAAGCCCCTTTCTTCAGGCATTCATATTTGGGGTTTTGCTAGCATAGCTGGGCTCTCTGAAGTTGTGAATTTGTGTATGTGTGTGTGAAAGAAGACTGTTGTTCCCTCAGATGCATTTTTGTACTTTGTGAGATTTTGTTGTGTTACCGGACATGTGAGTGAGAAAACCTGACTTGGAAAACAGAAAATAATGAAGGCTACATCTGGTATTGTATATTCATATTAACTCTTCCCCGAGTGCACTTTCTGCAGTTCATGGGCAGGACTTTAAGTTAATGGGTTTTGTATATTTTTTGACCATTCATCTCTTAAATTTATCCACCCAAGAGATAGACATTAACTTCTGTTATTACTGGATTTGTTTATGTTATAGGTTTTGGGCAATATCTGCTTAGAAACTCAATAAAACAGCATAGATAGGGAAACGCAGAAGATTAAATAGGTGAAGGAGTAAAGCATACAAGCCAAATACAGAGGTAGTCATTTAATATTTTAGTAACTGTTAAGGATAATTCTTCAGTATCTCACAGTATCACTGTAATAGAACACTTCTTAAAAATTTGCTAGAACTAAACATAAGCATAGTAATGTGCATAACTATTTAACTGACAGCCAGAT